TAACATAATTTCAGGCTCTTTTACTTCTCTCTTGTTTTGTATTCTATAGTGAACTCCTTCTTAGGCATACTTAACTACCTAAATTATTAACAATGGCTTACTTTTTGTAGTTTACTGTATTCCTTCTTTTGTGTATCTACTGGTTCCGACTATATTAGCACTATGAGTATTACAAAATTGTCCTGTCGTTAACCACTATGTAATTATTAGTTTTGTGGTTGTTGTGTTTTTGTTCGGCAATATTAACTGACAATCTTGGTTGTGAACGCCATTATTATCACCATCTTAAAATTTTGTATTATTCAGGATTACTCACACTACCACTACAAACACTGCATTAGACCTGACAATAAAAAACAAAACAACAAAGCCTGAAATGTTATTTTATGATTGTTTAGAGTTGTTTCAACCAAATTAACTGACCATCTTGGCGATAAACATTCTTAAATATCATTTCATAATTTCTTGTATGATTATAGCTTTACTGTCACCATGCATAATCATATCATAGCTTCCACTACCCAATACTGAGTTATTATTATATGATGTTTATTTTCCTTCCTATTTCTTGGTATTTTTCCGCATTTTTAAAATTATTTTGTGTTTTTTGTAGTTGTTTTTTTGCTGTTGGTGTCTTTATATTCATTTATTTATTGATTTTTTTGAAAATACTCCTCTTAAACGTTGGATAAAATTATATGCAAATATGTGTGCTGAAAATTCCACACTGTACCATTAGTACTGTTTCTGGAATAAAGCAAATTATTATTATTATCATTATTTTTATTATTAATACAGGGGTCATTTCGCTAACGGATTTGGAGAAGTGAATAGCAAAGGCACAGGGTCTTACGTCTAAAAGAAGTTAGTGCAAAAATGTCTAAATCACACACACTGGATGGTCTAGGTTTAAACACAGTAATCCACTCACTAACAGTTTGATTTTTTTGTTAATTGCTTCACGTTCCCAGTGGAACATAGGGCTTCAAGCTAGAGGCTTGAAGTTTCTGTAGCAGTGTTTATTGTTACAGGATGTGGTTGGTAGCCTCATACCCAACCTTTCCTCTTTACCAGCTTTTTATTTCTGGCTTAGCGAGCGAGGTTAAGGAGTGCGCCGGCCGGGGATCGAACCCCGGACCATGCGCATGGTCGGCCAGCGTCCTAACCGCTCTGCCACCGACGCAACAGTTTGATTAATAGACAAAAAAAGCAAAGGCACAGTAATGAAAATGGCGGCTTACAGTAAAGTAAAATTTAGGATTTTCAAAAGAATGGATAGATACTGAACAAAGAATATAAATACTCTTTTCGATAACCCCTTCATCATCGTCAGGCTCTTCAGTTATATATCCATCCATTATAGTGAATGAATGAATGAATTAGTGTTATGAACAACAACACGAATGTTGCTGTTTAAATAACATCGAATCAATAATGATGGGCATTCAGCAACAAACTTTACCATAGAGAGAGAGAAAGAAAGTAATGACAGTATCTCACTCATTCCTTGACGTCTTCATGGCAAAGAAAGAAGATGGAGTGTGTGTATAGGAAACCTACAACAACAGGTCAGTACACTCATTTTTTGAGTTTTGTACCTTTGAAATATAAACGCGTTACCTGATAAAGTGTCTGGTTCATAGAGCTAGGTTAATCTGTTCAGACGACTGCCTCAATGAGGAGCTTAAGATTATCAGAGAATTACTTAGAAAAAATGGTTATCCAGATAAATTTATTGAGAAAAATATGAATTCAGCACCTAGGAGAGTCAGTATGGCAACAGTTCCGAAAAAACCACTGTTCATAAAACTGCAGTTCCTTGGTGACAACATCAGTGAAATAATAACACAGCGAACACCTGAAGAATGCAGTTAAAAGAGCTTATTATGCAGCAGTGAGAGGTACGTTGTCTCTTCACAACCAAGCCTATTCTACATTCGAGAAATAAGGATAAACTACCTAATTTCGCCTCTTCTATGTGTGTCTACCAGTTTGACTGCAGCTGCGGAGCCAGCCAGTTACATCGAGGGGCGTACAATTAGGCAGGTTCATCATCCTATTTCCGAACATCATCCTGCATCATGGTTAAGCAGCAAGGGACAAACAAGACCTATTCGTAGTTCTATTTTAGCACACCTTGTTGATACTGAGCAAAAGGTTGACGTTAATACTGCATTTAAAATTATTTATCGCATTCCTACTAATTTTAATTTTGCTCTACGAGTTCGTCTTCTACATACGACAGCTGAAGCAATAGGAATCCACCTGAAGAAGAAGCCAACAAACCTGAGTGTGTATTGAGAAGAAATTTGTACAGCCACTTTCTTTACCGAGGCCATCTCTAGAAGAATGCATAAATAGGATTATGTCGCCCCCCTCCCCCTAAACTTTTAAAAATTATAACTGTCCAAATTATTTTGTCTTTTCTGACTACTTCATCTTTAATTACGTGTTATCCTTGTAAAATTAATTTATTCTATCCGTTTCTACCTTTTAACTGTGCATTGATTTTCTTCGTTTACTATCAACCCATTGACATTTTGACACTGACTGACTAATTATTGTTAACAAACAAACATATCAGTGCCACTTGATTGGTAAACTGTTGTGTGTTGTAATAAAAATGCGATACGTGTATATTAGAGTAGAGCCAGAGTGAGATGAGGATTTAATTGAAAATTAAATATTTATCACTCAATAATTATAATACCAATGGATTACAGGTCAATAGCATCAACATAACAATACACACTGAATGTCAGTTGAATTAGGAAAGATAATATTTTAAATTCATGAATTTATAGTCACTGCTGAAGACCAGCCAGGGCAGTGGTAGTAGGGGCTAGCTAGCTGGACTTGCTTCTTCTCCACACAGAGCACTGGTTGTTTGAGGCGAATTGCAATAGCCTCTGGTGTTTAGGGAGCATTCGGTGCTTCAATGTTGATTTTGGCAATTTATTAGGCACCCGGTAGATGATGATTATGGAGAAGGATTCTTCCACGCTGGCTGGCCGGTTTGCACGAGATGGTCCAATATCGAACTAGACTAGCCACTTCAAACTGTATCTGCTAATTCAACTGCAACTGTGCTTGTGGTGGAGCGAGTTATATTGGCCATTGTTGCTCTAGGAACTTGATTTTTCCTGCTCGCTAGCTCGGGAACATCGCCCACTATGGCTAAGTAAAGGTATAGCGGCAAACAACAGTTCGATATTGGACCATCTGGTGCAAACCGGCCGGCCAGCCAGCCAGAGTGGAAGAATCCTTCTCCACAATCATCATCTGACAGTTAAACTGAGTCAGGTAGGGAAATGCAGACTTCCGGGTTGGGGCCCGCCCTCGGGACTCTAGGAATCAATCAATGGCTGGAGACAATATGTGACATGGCTCACAATCGTTGTCAATGGCGCAGATGTATTCAGTCTCTGTAAACCTTCATATTCCTTTTTACCATTACTCATTCTGTTTCACTCTTATACTTGTCAAAACTCTATTGATTCTCTTCACTTATCTTCTTGTCTACCTTTGTGTGCTATTTGGAACGTGGCAACTGGAACTTCTGCACTTCGGTGCCAAGTTCTATGTTGAATCCAGCCAGCCATCTACCGGGTGCCTACTAAATTGACAAGATGATCATCGAAGCACCATATGCTCCAAACACCACAGGCTATTATAATTCACCTCAAACAACCAGTGCTCTGTGTGTGGAGAAGAAGCAAGTCCAGCTAGCTAGCCCCTACTACCACTGCCCTGGCTGGCTTTCAGCAGAGAGTCTATAAATTCGTGAATTTGTAATATTATCTTTCCTAATTTCTCTGTCTGACATTCAGTGTGTATTGTTATGTTGATGCTATCGAACTGTAATCCATTGGTATTATTATTATTGATTCGATGTTATTTAAACAGCAACATTAATGTTGTTGTTCATAACACTAATTCATTCATTCACTATAATGGATGGATATGTAACTGTAGAGCCTGATGATGATAAAGGGGTTATCGACAGTCCGTCGGTCGGTTTTCGACATAGGACTTTGCACATATGTGCACCAGTTCAAGTCACCACACTCCACTCCTTGTAGCACACAAAGCAAGAGAAGAAAGTAGGAGAAATGCATAATATAGACAGTAAACAGAGATGTGGTGAGACAAAGGAATAGTAATAACGAAGAACAAAACAGTTTCATTGGAAATCATGAGTAACAAGGAGTGGATGCATCTGTGCCAGCCAGCCATTGAGAACGATTTTGAGCCATGTCACCAATTGTTTCCAACCACTGGTTTTTACCGTCATCCCGAGGACCCCAACCAGTCAGGAAGCCAGTCTACACCTTCCTATGTGGCTTAGACTAACAGTTGTGGAGTTCATTGACTGGTGCCATGTTTACGTTTGACCGCCGTTAGCTCTTTTTCAGTCTGGCCCTATATCAGCTAACATCGCCCGTCGAGGAAGGTGATGACTAGGCATTCATTCGTAACACATGTCCTAACCGTCTCAGTCGATGTAATTTCACAGCCTTACCTAGCACTCGACCGATGCCTCACCTAAATATTGCTCACCTTATCATACCACTTCACGTGGGAGATAGAACGCAGATGTGGCTTTGAAAGGCTATCTGGGTTGTTTCTATAGCTCTCATCGTTGTTTGTGGACGCAGAGTGAAGTGAAGATGACTCACTAGCCTGAAGAATAGTGCTGGCTATAGTAGAGAAGCAAAATGAGGAAGGTGATGTGAGTAAGGGAGAGTGATGCTCAGGTAGGCTTCATGTGCTTTCGGAAGTGCGGGTTATCCACAGCAGTATTTATATTCTTTTTGTTCAATATCTATCCATTCTTTTAAAATTTAGGCGGCAATTTAGCCGAAAAATGAAGCTTCTTATTGTACAACAAGAACACAAGGAAACTTTGCATACAATTTATTACAAAAAAAAATTTACACTTCTATCCACATCAACAAAAATCTTTTGTTAATATATATTGGGAAATAATTTAGCTTTACTCATGATAACAATTTTAACCCTTTGAAATACGATTGAATTTCTGACTTCTCATAAGGTCGTGTAGCCAATGCAGTACAGATATTCTCCGGTTGCTCTACCCACAAATAATGTTCAATTCCAGCATCTTTCAACTTTTCAGCAATCCCTTTCAACTGTTCTTCATTATCCACACCGAGTGTGACTTTATGCATTCTGTCCAACTGAGCCAAGTAGGCCACAGTGTCTGGATGAGAGTAGAATGTGGCAATTGCTGCAGTTGATGCATGACATCCTTGTGTAATGAATGCACCGAGTGGCCAATTTAAAACGGTGAATAGATCACGACGTAACAGGATGTATTGGACTAAAACCATTTTTGATTGTTGTTTTTTTCGTTGTTGTCAAATCTGAGAAGGTGGAAAGCGTTCGAGAAAGAAAAAAGAATGTAATCCATTATTATTATTATTACTTTTAGAATTTTTAATATATTTGTGCGTTAAAGTTTTTGTAGCAATTTGGTTAAGTTTTGGGGGTGGAGTTGCTAACACCACGCCCCAACCCTCCCTCTTTATCCGGGCTTGGGACAGGCTAGAAAACTAGTGACCTAGTAATCTAGGCGAGGTGCTTATTATCACTAATGATATTCCTAATTGTGGTGGACTAGACTGGATTATGCGTCGTCAGACAGTGGGAAACGAGAAGACACGGATATCCTGGACAGACGTGAAGAACCCAAAAGACCTGGATTTAGCGCGTGGATGATTTATGTTTGATGTCACACAAAATCGAAGACTTACTTACAAGCGAAAACCGACAAACTGGTCGAAGAAGCAGCAAAGACAAGACTCCAGGTGAACATAAACAAGACGGAGGTTATGAAAATAACCAACCAACAAAAACAACAACAACAGCAACATCCAGCGCCAGTCACCAGCGCCAAGGGGAGGGATTTGAAAGAGGTTACTTCATTCACTTATCTAGCTACGGAGCATTGTCTCAACTACAGGAGGAACGGATGAGGATGTCAAATTGAGAATCGGGAAGGCGAGAAACACATTCATCAACCTGAAACCAATCTGGAAATCTTCGTCACTCAGCATCAACAACAAAATTCGGATTTTCAATACAAACGTCAAGTCAGTCAGTTCTTCTATACGAATGGATCAGAAACTTGGCGGCGGGTCACAAGGAATATTTCCAACAGCCTGTTGCAGACCTTTATCAACAACTGTCTTCGCTGGCTCTATACTGAAGATCAGATGGCCGGAAAGAATCACCAACAAGAAACTATGAGAACAAACAAACAAAACAAGAACCAACCACTCAACAAATATGCAGGAGAAAGTGGAGATGGATTGGACACTCGCTGAGGAGACCGCTAGGTGACATCGCGCGTCAGGCCATAGCTCGAATGGAACCCGAAAGGGAAGCAGCGAGTGGGACGTCCAAAGGTGACATGGAGGAGATCGTGTGAAGAAGAGTTGAAACAGCATGAATTAACATGGATGCAAGTGAAAAGTACAGCAGAAGACAGAAGCAAATGGAGGCGTGCAGTTGAAGCCCTATGTTCCACTAGGAAGCCAAGGGAACAATAATAATTGTTATTATTATTACTCTGATAATATACAATAAACCTGATAGTATTTATTTATTTATGTATTTAAACGCAGAAAAAAACTTGGTAAAATATGGCACCAAGAAAGATGCGCCACACAATAATAATAAAACAACATAGATTAGAAGTAAAAATATACGGGTGGAGAACGGATAAAGCACGTCATCTGGAAGGAAAACAGTCATGTTTAACAAGTTCAAACAGTATTCGTCAACTATCATCGGGAAGGGAAGAAAGAAGGAAATTGCAACACGTTCGCCATTGATGACTGGCGATTCTTCGCCATATCCGATAACATTCCAAACCACCAATTCGAGCTATCTCTCGGACCCTAACCAGGGAGTAGTGACGCACCAACCGATGCTAATCTAACACAAAAATCCTTCATCCTACGATGCCTCGTCATGGACTGACCACCCCTCCACATTTTCCAGCCCGTCCCAGGGCTGGCCAACGAACAGAGATACCTGTACGGAAGCCTCTGGGATGACATTCGCAGCACATGTCCAAGCCACCAGAGCCGATGTTTCCAGACGACGACGACAACCCTCAATGAATGGTGATCTCCACTGTGTTCAAACACACGCCACTGAACCTCAGAATTACTCACGCGATGATGCCATCGAACGCAAGCAATCCTGCGGAGACAGCGATGATCGAACACACAGAGCCACCGCACATCCTCAGCTCACTCGGACAGGCCAGGTTTCACAGGCGTAGAGCAAGACAGCCCCCACACCGAAGCATTGTATACCCGACATTTGACAGCCAGGCGGCTAACGTCGCGATGGCGTCAGAGGTGGCTCAAGTTGATGTATGCCACCCTAGCCTTCATTATACGATTGGAAATCTCATCCGTCACCCCTCCCCGCAAGCACTCACACAACTACCCAGATAAACAAACTTATCAACAACTTCAAGCGGTTCACCTGCAAGCAAAGTGAGTACAGGTTCCTGCCAATCTTGTAACAGTATTTTGCACTTCTTAGACGGCGCAAAGTACATACCATACTTACAGACACTGATTGTGGACTTTAATGATGAACTGAACGAGTTAGTGAAACATTAAATTTTAAAATACACTTTTGTTGCTGTCACTGAGATCTGTTATATGAGATTGAAATTAAAACCGATCGGTTACAGGATTTCATCATGACCAGCTGACATTAGTTAGAGAATCATTGGAAAACCAGCCAGGAAGTACTGGACAGCTGTTGACCACTCCACCTATTTGGGAAGTTGTATCAGCACCAACGGATTGATTGGTGACGAAATCTCAGCACGGATCCAAAAACCTCGGGCTGCTTTCGCTAACTTACACCGTCTCTGGCGTAGGCGTGACATCCGGCTATCAACCAAGGGACGTGTGTACTGCTCAGCAGTTCGCTCTGTCCTTCTCTATGGCTCTCTGAAACATGGCAAATACGAGTTGAAGACATGAAAAGGTTGACTGTTTTTGATCATAGATGTTTACGATCTCTTTCTCACGTTAGGTGGCATAATAAGGTAAGTAATGTTGACGTTAGGTTAGGCGTAGAGTGTTGGGCAAAGAGGGAAAATCAATCGACGAGACTATAAAGTTACACAGATTGAGATGGCTAGGTCAGGTGCTGCGCATGCCTAACCATCGCCTCCCCCTCCGACGGGCATTACTAGCTGATATAGGTGCAGGTTGGAAAAGAGTAAGTGGTGCCATGCCAAACAAAAACATGGCCTCATCAATCAATCCATGAAATCCTTGACAGTTAAACTGAGTCAGTCAGGTAGGGAGATGCAGACTTCCGGGTTGGGGCCCGCCCTCGGGACTCTAAGAATCAATGGCTGGAGACAGACAATAGGTGACATGGCTCAAAATCGTTGTCAATGGCTTACGCAGATGTATTCAGTCTCTGTAATCTTTCATATTCCTTTCTACCATTACTCATTCTGTTTCACTCTTATACTTGTCAAAACTCTATTGATTGATTCTCTTCACTCATCCATCTTCTTGTCTACCTTTGTGTGCTATTTGGAAGGTGGCAACTCGAACTGCTGCACTTCGGTGCCAAGTTCTATGTTGAATCCAGCCAGCCAGGACAGCTGTTTCGTCAGCCTAGTTTGGGACTCTTCACAGTACGCACCCACCCGACTGCGGGTTCGAACCCAGGATCTTCTGGTTACAAGACCAGCGAGCTCGTAGACCATTAAGCCACTCACTGGGACCCGATCCAATGAATTCTAACTTCTGCTTAATTCACGCACGACATAGCGCGACTGGCACTAGCCAATGTCTTCGATGGCGAGTATTTGTCCTCACACCACCGCACCTGCTGCTGCACCCTACTGGTCACGACTTCTCACTAGAACCAACCCAGGTAACTACCCCAGGATGAAACAGCTGTCTGGCAGTACTCCCTGTGGTTGGTTTTCCAATGATTCTCTAACCATCCGATGTCAGCTGGTCATGATGAAATCCTGTAACCAATCAATCAAATTACGTAATTTAGAGGGCGTTAATCGGTTAGAAACTAAAATAAAGTTACAAAAGTAGGTTGGGTGACGTAATCTAATTGATAGGGTTCAATGAAAAATGAATGAGAGTCAAGTTAATAATCTGAGTAGAATTCACTTGAAAATAAACGAAAATGGAGTTAGCAACAGTCGTCATGAGGGTAGAGATTTAATAGAGGGTTGGGGTAGAAAATAATGCAATTAAGAAACAGACAAACAAAGAAGAAAGAGGTAAGACAGAATTACGTATTTGGTGTTAAGATAGATCAGGACCATTGTAGATTTAGTGACTGAACAAACTTCTTTTGTATGCAGAGTTCAGGATTCAATATGTGAATTGCCATTGCTTCTCAGTTATCTACACAATACGTGGGAATCTTGCCAAAAGAGTACGAATTAAACTTCTTCAAACTGAAATTAATTGTTTTAGAACAAGACATATAAGCGAACAATATTGTTGTTTTCAATTAGATCTTCTTCAGGCTTTACTCTCATTTACATAGATTTATATATAAAAATTTTTTAACCAATGACGGTGATTTTGGGAATCAAATAGTAATAATAATAATGTGGTAAATGTTTTGAACGAAATCAATAACGATGATTATAATGATAACAAAAAATATTGATAATAAGGTTTATGCAGGTGAACTCCTCCAACCGCTACACAAGATGGTG